GCTCTTCCGCTCGAGAGTTTTCGGGGTTATGTTCTCAAGGAACCCGTTGGAGTTGTCGGTTTGATTACTCCGTGGTATCCATATCGTTTCTTGATCATATCTCGAGAATCTTGAAAGTGTTTTCTTCTCTTCTTTTTATATGATAGTTTTTGTTTTATGTTGGAAGGAATTATCCGTTATTGATGGCTGTATGGAAAGTGGCTCCGTCTCTGGCAGCCGGTTGCACAGCAATACTCAAACCTTCCGAGCTGGCCTCGTTGTATGTACATCTTCCATTCTTGTAATAATAGCTTTAACTTGTTTTGGTTGTTCTTTTCATGATTTCCTCTGATGCGGTTTTCGACTTTTAGGACATGTTTGGAGCTCGCCGATATCTGCCGTGAAGTGGGTCTTCCACCCGGTGTTCTGAATATTTTGACGGGTTTAGGCCCTGAAGCCGGTGCCCCCCTCTCGTCTCATCCCCATATCGACAAGGTCAATTTCTTGCCATTGATAATCTTTATCGACATCCGCAAAATACGATGAGATGATCTCGAGACAACCAGATTCCTTTTTTTTAATATAAAAATAACGTTTTTACACAAACCAAACCCGAATTAAATGGAGTTATCCGAAATATGGATTTCTATAAAGATGAAATAAGAAGCTTTAACAGAAAAGAAACATACAATGTTTATGAACTCTGCCATAAAGCGTTAAAAAGGTCCAATCTGTAAGGAATTGATTGTGGTTCTCTCCGTTTTCGTTCACTTTTTGTTTTGGGTATTGAAGATAATGTGATTTACTATTTACCAGGTTGCATTTACCGGAAGCAATGCAACTGGGAGCAATATCATGAGTTCTGCAGCTAAATTGGCGAAAGTAAGCACGGGAAATTTCTCGATTTTTCTTTTCGTATAATCGTTCCGAGCTTTTGTATAAACCTCGTATTTTCTTCATTGACAGCCTGTTTCTCTGGAGCTCGGAGGAAAAAGCCCGATCGTTGTTTTCGACGACGTTGATATCGATAAAGGTTAAGTTACTTTTTTCGAACCTTGAGAGTAATACCATACTAATCTGATTTTCCGAGATACTGATTAGTGAGTGATCTTTACATATTGGTTATGAACAGCTGTGGAATGGACAATGTTCGGTTGTTTCTGGACTAACGGTCAGATCTGCAGTTCAACTTCTCGACTTCTGGTGCATGTAAGTGCATATAATCTATATAACCTTTCGTACAGTTTCAGACCGTCCATGGAATCTACTTAGCAATACAATGTATGTTTCATAATACAAGTTCACTACTTTAGAATGCACTGTCTGAAACTAACAATCTAAACCCGAAATCCGAATAGATTTTTCTCATATTTTCTAGAGAGACAATGAAGATAGAGTGTGAAGCAATGATAGAAAAATCCTTTGTAAATCCACCATTGATGAGGTGACGAAAGTGTAAGAATTTTTGCGATTAAGAGAGAAATTTTTTGCGAAATGCCAGGAAAGGATTGCGGAAGAATTTTTGGACAAGCTGGTAAAATGGACAAAGAACATTAAGATTTCAGATCCTCTGGATGAAGGTTGCAGGCTCGGTCCTGTCGTCAGCAAAGGACAGGTAAAAGTTTCTAAGCTCAGGACTAGGGGCGGTTATTTCAATTCGATTATTTTCAGATTCGGTTATTTCGTTTTCTTGAAAAATTATACCATTCGAATTTTTTATTGAATTCAATTCGATTCTATTTCATTTCGGGTTCTGTTTTTATTGATAAAAATACTTATTTTTCAAACAATGTTTGGGTTCGATTTTTATATCAGATTTGATTCGTTTATTAACCAAATTGGCCACCCCTATCTAGGACCAGCGATGAAAAAGCTTACTAGCTAAGAAGAATCAAATACTAATGCTATACTCTTACATGGCTAAAATGATTGAAAATACCGTTTGGGAATTCCCGATTGTATTGATATACTCTAAGTCTAATCTCTTATACCCTACAGTATGAGAAAGTACAGAAGTTCGTCTCGAACGCGAAGAATGAAGGTGCAACTGTTCTATGTGGCGGTATTCGTCCCTCGGTACATTGTTCCTTCTATGTTAACTGGTGCTAAAGTGGTTATGGTTGTTTTTGGTCCAAATAATATTTTGACGGTACGTTTTTTTTTTGTTTCATGTACAATCTGAAAGCACTTGAAGAAGGGATATTTCGTCGAACCTGCTATCATTACCAATGTGGAGACTTCCATGCAAATCTGGAGAGAGGAAGTGTTCGGTCCCGTTCTCTGCGTCAAGACGTTTTCCACTGAGGATGATGCGATTCATCTGGCGAATGACTCCGAGTGAGTATGATCTTTTACGAAAACCTCGTTTTTTTTTTGTTATTTCATATCTGACAGAAAGCATAAAAACGTTATGCAGATACGGACTAGCTGGTGCAGTATTATCAAACGATCTCGAGAGGTGTGATCGTGTTAGCAAGGCGAGTATCTTTGTTTCGACAGTGAACTGAACTTAACCGCCATTGGCAAAGCCTGTCTGTTACCTGTGTTCATGGAGGAAGCTTATTGAAATGACTTTTGTCAGTGATCAACTTTGTATGTCTCTTTTTTTTTGCAGGCTTTTCAGGCGGGGATTGTGTGGATTAACTGCTCACAGCCGTGCTTCGTCCAAGCTCCTTGGGGTGGCATCAAACGGAGTGGTTTTGGCCGTGAATTAGGAGAATGGTAAGTAAATCTACGCCAAAAAAAAAAAAACCCGAAATTTGGGTACCCGACATGACTTCGGGTAGCTGATTATTATATGAGATGGTATCGGGTTTGATCATGCAGAAAGTCTATAAATCGGTTCAGGTAGTTGGGTCTGTGATGAGTATTACCCATCTTTACCCGTATAAACAATAAAGTACAGTTTTGCCTCTAAGTTTTAAATAAATCACATATAAAACTTGGGTTATGAACTGAAATTTCTCGAAATTTTGGGTTCAGATTTGGGTAATTTGAAAATCTTGGATACCCGGCTCAAGTTTACCCCTAGTATATGATAATATTTGAAAATCTTGAAAATTATATCGAATATTTATTTTCAAAAAACGGTCGATCCCAAATAAACTTGGGATTGAAGCATTGTTGTTGTACTAATCTTCGAATATCAAATCAAAATGGGTTCGAGATTGGATAATATCTCTCGTGAGGTCGGGTTTGGGTTTGGGTAACACGAAAATTTCGGATATAGACCTACGACCACCCAATTGGTAACTTTCCCCCCAAAAAAAAGAATCTCGTGGAATGTTGCTCGGAAGGGAAAAATAAGAGAAAGAAAACACCAAACTTCAGGATTCCAGTCTGATTTAGATCTGCTGTTACACAAAGTTGAAGATATGTCTGATTTTTTTTTATTTTTTTGCCATAAGAAGAATGCAAACATCATACTTCTCATTTTGAGGAATTGAATTCAAATGCATGGTTCTGATTTGTGAAATGAAACTCATACATACCATTATCTTCTTTGTAGGGGGCTTGAGAACTACCTGAGTGTGAAGCAGGTCACTCAGTACACCTCCGGTGAGCCGTGGGGATGGTACATGCCTCCTTCCAAGCTCTGAGATCAACATATATAAACTCATATATATATATATATAGTAAGATGTATAAGACTTAGACCTTCTTCTATGATCTCACAACATATTTGAAGCAGAGACAAAGGCAAAGTTCCTACTGTAAGAGAGACATAGTTACTGTCTAATAATGGCAAGGTGATCCTAATAAGAGTTTAATAGCAAAAGCTCAAGCACAGCAGAATCCTGCAGTGAAGCATCAAAACAGGTAATCATAAAGATGGAGAATGGTTAAAATTAGGTGCGGCTTGTTCATGTTTCAGTTCGGGTTCGGTTTGGTTATTTTGGTTCTAAAAAAATTATAATTGTTCGGTTTTTATATTGATTTTGTTTGATTTCGATTTTTATTGACAAAATAAAAAGATTAAAGTTTAACAAAGAAACTGTAAAATAAGAATTTTGATCAAATTACAATATGCATTGGGTTATCGATAACTTTCCTTGCATTACTGGGGATGAGTAATACTCATTTTGTTAAAGAAAATTTCGTTTTTTTTAATTCTTTTCAGAATCAATTAGATTTTTTTAATTTTACAAACATTATAATCGTTAGATTTTTATATAAAATTCTGTTCGATTAACATTATGTTATTCAGATTGGATCAATTATTAACCAAATATACCACCCACACCTTAGATGGATTTTACGGGCAGGAAGGAGTTTGCAAAACATTGCTTACAAAATGGCATTACAATCCAACAATGAGCGGCTTGCAAAAGGCAGCCATAGTCATATCCGACGCACAGAGAACGTGGGTCGGGCAACCTATGTCAATTCCTGCCGTTACAAAAAAAGAAAGAGAGCAAGAGATCGAGGAGGAAAGAACCAATGGCATCTTGAAGCTGCACCAATCTAATTGCGGTTTAGAGGTTAAAGAAAACGAAAAAACTAGTGGTGTTGCGATGTTTTGGCTAATGGATTCTTCTTCCTTGCAACTTCGCCGTACCATGATTTCCAAGCTTCCATGTAATGGGCAAAGAGATCTTTCAAAACTGCAGTTATGCAACCCAAGGACAGAGTGTTAATAAGATTGATATGAGCATATAAGTTGGTGCTGAGATGGATATGATGAAAGTGTTTTGAGGCAAAATATGTATATACCTTGGTTATGGTAACAGGGACGGTGAACTGAAACTAGATTCTCCAACTCGGTAACGCTCTTTGAGTTGTTATCCAGAGCAAAGCTATGACTTGTAGCGCTGGCAGGTGCGAAGGGACCGAACTGGTAACTCCTTGCTCCATATATCGATGATTCCTGAACCTTACTGGTTTTGGTGAATGAACTCTTCTTAGATACTGTCTGTTTACTCATCTGGAGCATCTTCTCAGATGTATTTTCAAGTGCAAAAGATGCCGTTTTGTTCTTCTTGACTCCGACATTCGTAAGATCAGTCCCAAATACCCTTTTTCTCGTTTCATTTTGCTTGAAGTTATTGCTTGGCACGTGAACGGGTTCGCCGCTGTATCCCAGCCACTTGAAAGCTGGTTTTCGTGTTTCTGAGGTGTGGGTCTGCAAATCAGAGAGAACCAGAGTTGCTCTAATTGACTGAGTAGCTAGAACATTTGTTGGTTTTCTAAATGCTGCAAAAGGGAGAATGTTCTTACCTTCTCTATGAGATTCATTGATGATAAAACGTTTGCAATGTCATACAGCCGCCTTACTTTTGCTGCGAAAGAAATACCTCCATGTCAATAAACAAATCCTTCTAATACATCTTGTCTCCAAAGTTTATTTCAAACAAAGAACTTTTGTGGTAGGTTAAAGGAGATAGTTACTTCGCATGATCGATGTATTGTGGGCATCACCAAGCAGTAATTTTGCAGCTTCATCAAGAGAGATAATCTGAGCCTAAACAGGTTGGACAAATTTAAAAGGCTGAGCAACTTCATTGCAAAAAGTAGTCCATCAAAGGAACTCGATTTCTCACTTACTTCAGAGCAAACAAAGAGCTTGACAAAATTCTGAGTAAGAAGTCCTAAAGATTTCTCTCTTCGATTATCTGCTCACACATACAAAACCAAGAAAAATATCATGAAGTCGTACTATCATGGCAAGCAAGTTCTATACCAGGTAATCCGATTCATAAATTTGCTAAAATGCTTTATATTAACTAAGGCATATAACATTTTTCTAACCTGCTTTTTAAGAAAATCAAAAGTGATTATATAGTTACCACAGGAAAAACAAATTACCTATTTTCGATGAAGCTGAGGAATTGGGAAGAGACCCCAGTTTTGACCCATCATTTTGGCTGCTAGAATAGGGCTGGGAAGAGTCTTCCTCGTCGTCATCATCATCAGACACCTGCAATTATATAAAGGCATTGTACCTCTCAGTACAAAGGATATGGAAACAAAAAATTAAAGACTGAAAGTGTGGAATTATATAATTCAATCGCTTACTTTCTCATTCTCATTGCTATAGAATCGATGAAAAGTGTCCTTGATTCCCTCATCCTGCAACATATGTATAATGGGATTTCCTTTTGAGAAGTTCCATTCCAAATCTCCGAAAACTTATCGACCAAAATACGTATGATCAAGAACCCATACAAAGTCACCTTTAGCTCCTTCAAGGCTCCTGGAATTGCACCAAACCCTTTCCATGTATACTGATTCTTAGCTCTTCTTGTCAGAACCTAATTACCACAAGAAAATCGACTCTAAGAAAATATTACAGAACAGTCAAACATATCGAATTAACAACCCGAATCTCACCCCGACACTTTCAAGCACATTAACAATATCATAGATCCTCCGCCGCTCAACTCCTGCGGATCCAAAAAAGGACAATCGAATTTCAATGCTACATTGATGGGAATCGCTTTGACAAGTACAATAATTACAATCTGAGCAAAAGCGTACCTAATTTCGTGGCAGCATCGTCAAGCCCAACCATGTCAATCCCATCTCGATTGTACAATGCTAAGAAACTGGAAAGCAGAAGAAAAAAAAAACGAAAACAGATCATCAGAGAAACCTCGAAAGAGAAGGAATCAGCACAAGAGAAGAAACAGTCTCCGGGGAGATGGGATTCGATAGATACTTACTTGGTACAGAGAAGCCCCAACGACTTCTGCTTCCTACTGTAAGAATGGTGTCTGGAGGACGAAGAATCCAGGGCGGGAGTGGACAAAGTGGGCGGCATTTCGATCTCGCCGGCGACAGATCTCTCTGTGTGAGAGAGAGAGAGAGAGAGATTTGGGGAGAGAGGGAGAGGGTAGAAGGGCTATAAAACAGAATTCGAAAAATCGGAGAAACGTTGAAAGCTTGAGCGCCAATTTGAATTCTCTCTTTTACCTCCTCCCCCACGCGCCTCGTGTTTCCCCCTCCCTTTCCCTAAACAATTACCATTTTGCCCCTCACCTTTTTAATAAAAAAAAAATAACTGTAACAATTTCACCGCGTGTAAAATCGAAAGGATTTTCTGAATTTCCAATCTCAGTCCAATAATCGATTACAAGGGGGGAATTTGTTTTACATCCGATTTCACTTCAAATATCGGCTAATAAGAACAAAGGTTTCAAAATAGAATAGATTAAAAATGATAATGTTTTTTATTTTGTGACTTGATAATTTTCGTTCATGTGGCTCATTTGGGCCCCAAGAGAGTATTTTTGGGTGGGCCCATTTAATAGCTTAAGCCCAAAACATGATGGACCCCACATCTCTCTTGTTATTTCAAACACAGACCCAGGGGCGCCAGATTACTCGACGACGAAGACAACATTCGAAGTTTCTTATTGTACACTCAAAAGGCAAGAATTCTGTAAACTTCTTCTACGTGGATATTCGTGCAGATATCAGACAGCTCAGTGACCGTTGTCTTTACTCCGCCGCCAAATCGTACCCTCTGCTTAAATCCCTATTCTTCTCCAGTTTCCCCCACTCTTTCATGGAAAGCTCTGTGATTTAATTGTGGGATTTCCGATCAGAAGATCATTAATCTGTCTCAAATTGGGGTTTTTTTTTTCCAGGTCTTCATGGATTGTGTAGCTCTGAACAGAGTTGTATATTGGAAATTTGTTGTTTTTTATTTTCTTTTCAACTCTGATGCTTTTTTGTTCCGGCTTCAGATTCTTGCTGTAGTTTTTGAAAGAATTTTGAGTCGATATGTACATGGGTGTGATGGTACTTGTTCAGATTCCTGCAAAAATGGTGTTTTGATCCATCTTCCTGACCCCTGGGATCGAAAATGGACTCTCTCTTTTTTTTTTTTTTTTTTTGGGTCTCACTTTCATCCAGTGAGTTTCAAGATCAAGGATATCCAAGATCTCGATCCAAGAACACAGAATGCACATTGATTCCTGGAGAAGTATGCATGACTATCTGCAAGATATGGACTTGCATTCTTAGGGAATTTCATCACAAGCTCAAATGGAAAAAGCCCATTACAGCCTTGGGGAATTTGACCAGGTTGAAATCATATTGTTTTTTTTTTGGTGAAATGTGATTTGGTATTCCTAAAGTTCTCAAAATGTACAGAACCAGTAAAAAAAGACAGATTATAATTCTTTTTTACAGCAAACTAAAACAGATTTCCCATGAGTAAGAGGTAATTTGTTGTCGGCTTCCGCCCTCGTCTGGACTTGCATTCCAATGCTCTATTTGCAGAAGAAGCTTGTGCTCCTCCGAGTCACCTTGTCCCGAGCTCTGCTGCATCATTGGTAACTATTACAGTTTAAAGAGGCAGCATGAGAAGGCGGTAATGCACTTCCGGTGGGCGCTCTCGAACTGAACATGCATACGCCGTGCTGCCGATATCAACCCATCACATTTTCGAGCTTGGTATGGCTTAGGACGAGCATATAGGATTATGGGCGTGCCTTTCTGTCTAAGCACTTCATTGTTTTTCAGAAATCTGTGATTTTTCTGACGGTTGTGGATTGCCATACATGGCTAAGCGTTACCGACCTCAGCAGCTTAACTTTCTCGAGGAAGCAATCGGGTGTTACAAAAGAGCGGCAAACTGTAATGACACACAAGGGATTGCTCTTAACCAGAAGCTCGGACGAAATGAAGAAGCCGGCATTTTACTTCAAGAAGGATGTTGAGAGAATGGACGCTGAAGGATTACGACCATTATATGTTTTGAGGCTCTGGTTTTTCTTTCTACACATTTCAAAATTTGAAAGAAGTGGGTAATCAAGTTTCTTTACCTGACATTCTGCCCTGTTTAGTGTTTGTTCACAAACATAACAAAAGTTTCTTGAATTAACTAAGCTCCATTCCTTGCTCACTTTGCATTTGGTAAGATTAAGATCTGTTCAGGTTGAAAGGCCAATAGATACCATTCTCCTTCCTTACAAACAGATGAGGTCAACATTCGTAGCATTCTCAACCTTTGAACATCTCAAATTCATTTCAGTACTCTAAGAAAACTCGGAAAAAGTTTCACACACCAGTTATTTTCGAGTTTGATGGCTACTGTCACAATGAAAACCAGCACAAATTCCCATTATGTTACATCATAATAAGGTTTATAAACCGGATGAGATGGGGAGCGTCTGTTCAGTATTTGGGATCGGTGAAGAACTTGTTGATGGATGGCATGATCTCGGGATCTTTGTTGCGGACAAACCTCCTCACGAAATGCTCTGCATACCTCTCTCCCTCGGCAAAGTTCTCCAGAACTCCAGCTGCCCTATTTTCCTTGCTGACTCTGCATTGCAACGTATCAATTCCCAAAGAAGGAATACATTTCAGTAACAAGAACCCTAATCCAAGTATTTCTTGAATCCAAACGCGAGATTGTAGATACGACAAATCGAGTCTCTCACTCATGGCATATCAGTATTATCATCAGAAGCAAGGGGCAAAGAATTGCATCAGAGTGTTTCAACCTGAATCGAGGGGAAAGGGTTCTAACCATTGGTACTATCGACCATGATTTCATTTGATACTCAAGATCTAGATGAAATTATTTCCAAATGGCCAAACATCCTCTCAACTAGAAATGACTATACTCGATCAAATCGTGAAAATAGAGAAGGAAATCTACGCAGTACACTAAAATCTGATACAGGGAACTTGAAATCAACCAAAATACATACATATAAATGAGACAACCAGATTCTGAGAGAGAGAGACCTGACTTCAGGGTTGATGCAGATGTTGCGCACCAACTGGAAGCCGCAAATCCCGACAGCAGCTCCAACGGCGGCGAACAATGGATACACCTAAAAAACACAGATCCACACACGCGTGAACACACATGCACACAGATACACACGCGTATACAAGCCTATCTTTTCGGATCTGAGTGAAAAGAAGAACCTAGAAAACGCAGAATCAGGAGGATGAAATCCGATCCAAAGAATTGGACACGAAGATCGTGAAACACGTACCTCAGGCCTCAACCAACGGCTCGCCATCGGAATCGCAGGAAGGACTCAGGTCGAGAGACTAGCCGAAGAAGAAGGGTTTCGGAAATGGAGATGGAGGAGACCGAGGTGAAGAAGAGACTTTATCTTTGACTAGGGTAGACCGTATACGCATTGCGTTTGTTCGAAAGAAATAAAAAAATAAAAAAATGAATTTTAAAAAAGCTAATATTTGATTGGCTGTTACGGGCGTGGGGTATCCAGCGTTATCCAATCAATGTTCACCACGTGTCCAAATCGATGCGAGAACCAGATTGTGCAACTTGATATTTTTTCCTATTAAAAAGGTTTTCAATTTTATAAATTGCTAATATATTTTAAATCCTCGGAAAAAAAATGAGTAAATAAACGATTGCTGTTATCATATGTTCAAATTTATAAAACACAAAAAAAATCCCAGATTTTTAAAAACAAATCAATTTAAATTAAATATTCGTAACTTCAAATGACATTATATTTTTAAAATAACTTATAAAAATCGTAATGTTTATGAATTTATAAATACTCTGGCTCTTTGTAATTTTTTTTCATGTAAAACTTCTTTATTCGAATGATAAAAATTTCCGCGAATATGGCACGTCTAAATGTCGACGTAACATACACTGAGTTGTTACGTTAATGTTACATGAAGAATTAAAAAAAAAACGTATGTAGGTATGCATATATACACATATATATATATATGTACATGCATATATAATATATGTATGTGTCTATGCATATACATATATGTGTGTGTCTATGAAATATATATGTGTTTGTATTTTATATCTTTTAAATCTCAAATCGATGCGCGTTGATGTGATAGATTATTATTTAATACCGTAAGGAAAGATTCATGTATGCAAGGAGCAACATCACCATAGGTGACACACAGCCGTCAAACTGATGAGAAACACAAAGCAGTTGTTAGAAACTTTGCCCTCATTTGCCCTTTACAGACCCTTTTGGCACCTTGCAGAGCATGATGAGAGGCCCTTTGCCATTTTCCTACATAGACAAGAGAACCACCACCGCCGCCAACAACAACAACAGCAACTCAATCCCGAGTTTTATTTGGGGTCGGAAACGAAGAAGATGACTTCGAAGCAAATGTGAACAGGGCTGAATTCGCAGGTGAGTAACAAAAAGCATACACAGAGTTAAGTAGAATGACCCATTGGAAAGCTCAACAGTGAAACGACGAACTTTCACCTTCAACAGCATCCATCAACCAGCTTAGCTTCACATAATGAAAAAACCAGACGAAAAGAACATATGACAATTGAGCTCTGCTGATATTACAGTCATAGAACAAGCATTTGTAATGAGTTACCAGTAAAGATAAGACCAAAATCCAAATGCAGCAAGAAGAACTCTCTGACCATCGATTTGCTGTCTCAACACGGGAACAAGTTGCTGATAGAAAGAACCACACAGGGAGCAGATGACAAAGAGATCGCAATCATAGTCCACAGTATTGCATGAGATAAAACAGGGAAATGCAGCCGTATATAAATAACTTCAGAGAAGCAGAGGTCCTTGGAGACATTGAGTGAATATAGAGATAACTTATCGGAACTTTACTTGTTTGAATTTCTGTACCACCTTATGTATTCACACACCACTCTACATCACCACATGCTTTACACCAAGAATAAGAAGAAGAATAAGAGGAGTCAATGTGACATAGACCAAAGCTCAAAGTCCCCTGAGTGCCAAAAGACAATCCTATACCCACATCTAAACTATAGAACCAGATTCTACGACAAATGAAGAATGCAATACATGCGGTAAAGAGAGAGAGACAGAGAGTCAGACAATTCATGGAAAGGCACTCCCTCTCTATGACCTGGAAAACATGCTAGATGAACGAGCCAACCGAATCGTCAGACCACCTCCATGGACACTAGCCTCAGCCATGATTGCATCCTGACAATATGGTTTTCTGCAACCAGGACAACGCCCATCCCCATCGCATATCGTCTTGTGACAGAAAAGGCAGAGCCGGAATCCGCAAGGACATGGTAAAAAGTTTGAATCTGTTAAGTCCAGATCCTCATAGCATATGGGACATGATGATGGTGTTGCCACAGAACTATAATGCATGTCCATGACTGGAAAACTACGCTGCTTTGACAAATTAGGCAAGATCTGAGGACGCAGCTCATCATCGGGACGCCACGCCCGGTTGCTCTTTCGCATCCTCGACATCGATTTCTGGCAATCTTGCTTTCCATCCACCATAACACCGACACCTGAAACATTGTCTGGAGCAAACCTACAAATCGGATCCCATGTAGAAGCAGGTTGCCCGAAAGTCACATGCTCTTTGCACAACTCAGGAGGGTTTTCTTTTTCATGCTTGTCATTGGCGGCTAAAGCATCAGCAACAGCCTCCCAGTCATCCAAACACCCGTCGTCATCCCCATCTTCCTCCTCGGTAATACTACCTGAGCAAAAGCAACCGCTTTGACTACTAGTGCTACTGCTGCTCCTGATGCTGCTGCTGCCACTGAAATTAGGGCATGAATCTGTACCATCCAGGATACTACTGGTGGAGCTATTGGAAGGTGAGTCAATAAAACTCTCATGGTGGAATGTTCCACCATTATCCTCTTCCCTACGCCCCCTATCTAAATTCTCCATTGGGCTTTTGTCTCTCTCGATTTCATCAGTAATTTCACTCCCAGTTCTTCGATTGACGTTCATCTCCTCCTTACATTCCTTATTCTTCGCAGCAACTAGTACCGAGAGCAAACAAAAAACCCCAAATCCCGAAAATCAATATAAAAAAAAAACATGAAACAGAGATAGAAAAGCCGAAGCAACCCCACGTTACAGAAACGTACGTATAACGAATGTAAAAATCAGATCTTTTATCATCGTACCTTGAGAAAGCCATTGCTCACGACGGGCATCAAGCTTGCACTGCTTCAATTTAGCCGACCGGTTGGCCTGCAACGCAATTCAAAAAGAACTCGAAAGCCCAACAGAATTAAGAAATGGAACCGAAAAACAAGGGCATCATAGAACAAATCAAATTCCAAAGAGAGGAAAGAGATTTGGGTTCTAAAAATCATACCCTCTTCTTCTTGCAGAAATCCCTCCCGCTGGGGGCTGCAGTTGCAGAAGCATTGGTGATCGAATCCGAAATCATGGCTTCGAGAGGATTCTGACGAGCAAACAGACAAAAGGAAACAAGAATGGATCGCGAGATTGAAGATTCTGAAAAACCCTAATCGGGATTTGCAGAGAGAGGAAGAGAGAGAAACGTGAGATTTTTTTTCCCTTTGTTTAAGTGAGAGACAAAGAGACAGAAGGGGGAGAAGATATAAAAGGGATAACGGAAACTCCTCTCCTCCGCTCAGAACTCTCGTCTATATTTACCTAGGGACCAAACTACCCCTAATATTGACGTCTAACAAACCCTAGAAGACGTGGGCTTTTCTGTCATTTTGTAGTGCGCGTATGTTTAGGCGTGCGAAACGGCGTCGTATTCTTTGAGAGGAGACTATTCGCCGGAGATGAGTGCCACGTGGAAGCCGGGATATGACGTCATCATCTCCGCGGCCGTCACCTTTCCGTACACTCTCTCACGGACGGCGAGGAAGAATCTTCCGAATTAAGACAAAAGCATTTGGCGGGGTAAATAAATGCTCTCTTAGAAATCATCTTTCTCTGTAAGAAAACGCTGAGAATTTGGAACACAGACACTGACAAGTTATGGCAAAACAGGGAACCAAGAAACATGTTCGTGTAACTTGAGCTTTCATCTACTTCTTCATCTTCAGACAGAAGGGAAATATTTGTTGAGGTTGAAGGGAAGAGAGTAGAATTCCTCGCTTCGGGTATCGCCCTTGAAGGATTTGAACTTGTCCCACCAGTGCTTGCCTCTGTCCTTCCGGACCGACCCGTCTTTCTTACGCAACGTGTTGTCCAGGAAGAAGGCGATGCAGCCCGCCACAAAGGGTTCCGACGAGAACGGGACGTTCACCATGTCGTTGAACTGCGGGGAAAAAAAGTGTCATCGGTATCCATTAGCAGAGCTCAAAAAACATGGCGAAATCGTAACCGGTTTGATCGTAGGGTATGGCACTGCATTCTTTCCTTTCAACATCTCCAATCACGGCAATCCAATCAAATTTTCCCGAATGCTTTCGGTTTCATCCCGTGTAAAAACTTAAAACTTTTTCTATTGCAATTTACATTTCATAAAAAGAAAAAACTATGTCGAGCTAAAGGCCTCATCGACTCGATCAAACAAAAACCTGACACCATGGAAAGAGGAAGACCGAGCTATATATATATATATACACATACGTACCCAACGAGCTCCGGTGTGGACGGGACCATAGCCGTTGATGGCAGTGTACTCATTGAAATACTGTGGAATAGACAAGCCAAGGAAGATGGAGAAGCCCAATATGAACTTCGTTCTGAAGCTGTTCAGGTTGCAGAACTGAAGAAAACTCACTCCTCCAGCTCCTACACGTGTATGTATATATATATATATATGCGTGTATATATCCATCACTGGATGAGCATTTTCGATTCATGGGTAAAGGTTAGAACTTTCAACAGAGAGACACATACCTACGTAGGCGAAGAAGAGACAGTACAAAGCGGCAATGATGGGTCCAGGAATTGAAGCAAACACAGCTCCAAATTTCCCTACGTAACAGAAAGATCATTTCCATAAATTTCAGGCAAAACCCGAAAAATCCATCGGATGTAAACAACTGAATATACATATGGACGCACGTTTGAAAAGTTTGATCGAAAATGACTGAAAATACTCGGGTTCGGATACTCGCGGGTATCCAAATATTGTCTTGCAGGTCGGGTAAAGAGAATATAACACGAGACATTCTGGTTCGAGTTCGAGTATCCTGAAAATCTCGGGTAACCCACTCTGTAAACAACTTACCGAGAATAGAGAAGAAAATCATGAAACCAGCGGCTATCTGGACAACCCTCCGACTACCAACTCGTGTCAGTGCCAATAGACCCGCGTTCTCTCTGCATTGAATCGGTTTAAAGCCAAAAACAAAGAGAGAGTGTAATAAAAGTTGCAAATGGATCATCTGAAAAGTTTTGTGACAAAGACACTTACACAGAAACTGCAGAACCAGCACCGGTTCCAAACAACCCTGATATCAGAATTGCAACTCCCTGACCAAATGTAATCAAATTAGCATAACAAAATATTTTTCGCCCCATGGTTTGGGTTACCTAATAGGGATGAACGAGTCGAGTATCCGAGATTTTCGGATTATTCAAATCCGAACACAGAATGTCTCAGGTTTCATGAGACAACCTTGGATCAATTTTGGCCAGGTACCAAAGAGATAATTTTTGGGGAAATCCGAAATTCAATTTAAACTTTTTCACACACTGATGGTTGATTCGGGATTGTATCACAAACTTGAAATTACCTGAACCAAACCCAAAATTTCGAAAGACATCATTAAAACCCTACGTTTGTATGTAATTTCTACAAATCATAGGGTAAAAAGGGTCAATTTATTGTTCACTCGACTACCAACGGGTAATTCTGTCTCTCAAGCAAATAGCTGAACCCAAACCCAATTTTCGGGTTTCCCAAATAACAAAACCCGTTCTCATCTCATAAAACAGTCGGGTATCCAGGTTTCGAGTTTTTTTTCAGCCCTATTAACTAATAATTTGTATAAAGAAAACATTCCCTTTTTCCGGTACAGGGTGATTAAAGTGAGGCCGAAATTTACCTGCCAGCCAACACCGCGGCTGAGAATGGAAGGTGGCAACATGGTGGCACTTGCATATCTCGACACAGCAATAAAAGCACCACTTGACTGTAACATAGAAAAAGAGAAAAATCAATAAACCATATGTTCCTAAATCACAATCAGTTCTCAAGAAGAAGACGAAAACTTTTAAAAGAAATTTCCTCTCACTAACCTCAACAAGTACAACAAAAGAAGCCATCATCATGGCAAAAGCTTCTCCAGCGTCGAAGGAAGGGGCGCCCCATTGGAAAGGCCATGGAACTCTTATCCTTGGGGATAAAGAACACATTTCAGTAAGTAAACCCAACCTCATACTGAAGCACAAGGCTCACTATATCATAAACACTCGGGGGTCCGGCATTAAACCCGAGATCTGAGGGTTCGCTGGTAACCGTCTCATGGGTACCCGGAAATGCAGGTACTAGAGCATGCGTTCAACGAAGCGAGGAACCCTGACCACGAGTTCGGGATCGGGTTTTTTCTTTGAACGATGGCTTACCCGCGGTCAGGATGTCCAAATGACACTCATATCCGTGGTATCTTAGGATAATGACAACAATCTAGGTCTCTTTTGGTGTAAAATTACCGTTATAATTATACCCATATATTCAACTCGGGCCAACGAAAATTTACGCATTTTTGTGGGTTTGGGTACTCGAATCTCACAAAGCCGAGAACGAGATATTCTATTCATAAAACCCATGGAGACGAGGACGAGGCCGGGTACCCCAAAAACTCGGGTAGCCGACCGGCGCCCACCGCTAAATAGATGTAAGCCCACATTATCCTTTCTATCAAATTTCTTCAATAGCCCATCGTTCCACACAAGGAACTTAGGTGTCCGACCCGGACCCACCCCTTGTTCTCGAGTTAAATCCGACAGAAAGAAAACACTTACCAAGGAGCAGCACCTATGAGGCCGGATCGATCAGTACGGCAGCTTGCTTGTGTCTTGGGGGCAGCCCCATTGTAGGCCCCACCGACAGTGAGAAGGTGAGCGTAAATCCACACAATCACCACAGCAAATATCACAGCAAACCGATCAAACACATTCTTCCCTGATTTGATGACATGAGGCAGGTACTACAACATAAAACATTTTGAAGGTCTAATCAGTTAACAGTGACATCAACTTCAGTTCATTGTTGTAGTTATAAACAAAGAATGCGACAAAATACTAGAATAATCAGTTATGGTAGTTAAACAGATACATGTTAAACATTTACCTGTGAAACAAATACAAGAATAAGAAGCTCGGGCAGCCCAATCTCAATGCACTTTGCAACCTAGAAATGCAAAACATAAGTTAACACAACAGAAGCAATAATCTTTTAGATTTTTTCGTACTCTTTCTTATGAACGATTTAATAGAACTTACCCCGGGGAAACCAAACTCGTATAGCCCAAAACCTACTAGACCGACCAATGGAGCAGCAGAGAGAGGACTTAAGAACCTAAAAACACAAAACAACAATTACAGGGCATCCCTATTATAATATCGAAATAACGTTCAAGACAATCTGCTATAAGGTGAAGAAAATAATGGGTTTGGACTAATGCTTCTTCCAGACTGACCTGACAACATTACGCCAAAGGCCGCTGAACCCGAGAATCATCTGCAGAGTTGAAGCAACAATCAAGGCTCCTTGGGTTGCCCGCATTATTCTTTCAAATCGCTGAAAATAGAAATTAAAAACTGGTTATTACTGTCATAGCACCAAGAAAGAGGTATAGGGATGAATTGAACAAAAGATCATGGTTTTAAGACATGACATGACATTAGTGTGGTAATGACATAGACAGAAGAAGTTGGGTAGTGTACATCTACAGGATTTGAGGTATCACTGAATCGGCTTGAGAGGATGATTGATATGGTTGTTGGGACAAATGTGTAGGATGCTCCGATTACAGCAGGTAATCTTGTCCCAAACAGTGTCTGGAGCAAAGTGTTAATCCCAGCGACAAAGAGTATAGTTTGGACCACCTTTGCCTTCTCTTCCTGCAGCAATAATATATAAACCTTATCATATATCATTTGCAAGAGATCTTATTATTTTTTTCCTTTTATTGACGTTATTTCGCAAGCAAGGACTTACATTTCCACCTCCCATCTGAGGGACAAGGGAAGTAGGAATGAGGACCGTTGTGCCGAGCATCACGAGGTAATGTTGAAAACCGAGAAGGATAGCTTCGGCTGAAATTTTTAAGAATGCGAATATGTTTTCAGTTCTATGAATATACAGAATTATACAACAGCTAATGAACAAAACAAAAGATCAGAAATATGTGAGCGTGTAAGATGATAAAAAGATCAGAAATATTATAAAGATCTCCAATAAATAACCACATTTTGGAATTAGATGTACTTCAATCAAAACCTATACACATTAATCAATAATCCAAAAACCGTATATTGAAAATGATAATAAAAGATCTCCAAGATTCTGCAGAAATGAGAGGTATCAGACACAAAATAAGGGCATCCAAAGCATTTTTCTAAAGGAAAAGAATGGAGGGGAAAAGCATATATAGAAAAATCATATGCCCGAGGATAGCATTCCATTGTAGATCACTTCCTAAAATCGAAAAGAAGAAAAAAAACACCAGAGGATTGGGTTTAATCCTCCAAAACATTCAACATTCTAACGCATTGACACCATTATTTGAGAGAATTATGCTCTGAAACTGGTGGAAGGGAGCCTTGGCGCACCGGTTAAGGTGTTGCCATTGTGATCTAAAAGGTCCGGGTTCCAGTCCGCAGTCTCAGATATCTCTGCAAGGGAAGGCTGAGTACAATATACCTTGTGGTGGGACCCTTCCCCGGACCCCACTCAACGGAATACTTTGTCCACCGCGCTCCCCTTTTATGCTCTGAAACTGGTGACTGGAGATATGGAATACTGTATTGTCGGTTCACAGGAGTATGATTCTCCATTCCGACAACTATAGCAACACAGTATCAAGTTCATGTTCGAAAGAATCATACTCAGAAAGAAAAATCATAAATCTACCACACTATTTCTAGCAGAAGTATCAGAAAGTACGCGAACAATCTATAATCTCTCTTACCCTAATCAAAGAAGAGAAAGCAAATCTATCAGAAAGTACGCGAACAATCTATAATCTCTCTTACCCTAATCAAAGAAGAGAAAGCAAATCTATGTAAAAAAAAAAAGTAGCAAGAATCAAAACTGAACATCATTGTCCAAAGGAATCATACCCAGAAAAAGAAAACAGAAACGCCACAGAGAAACTTTCAACAGAGAAGCAACTTCAAATGGAGAAGAAACATATTTGAACAGAAGGATGATGAGCAAAAAAAATAGCGAGGAGGAGAGAGAATCTCACGCCAAGGAGGGGGACTGGTGATGCAATACGAAATGTTGGGGAGCTGATCTTTCGGAGGATGTGGCTGAGGTTCGTCGGCTTTGGGCGCCGGAGCTCCACCTCCCGCCATGGCTGTCTCTCTCTGGAAAACAAAACGAAAGAGCCAGAAATGGACATGAGCAAAAATCTGAAACAGGAAAAGAAGGAAAACCCAGAAAAGTTTTCCGGGAAAAGTGAAAAACCCAGATCGCGAATCTTGCAGAAAGTAGCTGAAATGGGGGCAAGGAAGGCACAAATCACGCAAAAGAATTGACAAATCAGAGAAAGGAGAAGGAAGAAAGTCACATCAGTTTGCAGCTGCTGGAGAAGAAAAGAGAGGAGGAAGAAGATGAACAGAGTAGCGGCAGACACACAAAGCTTTGCGTACAAAAGGTAAAGCCACACACACACAGAAACACTGAGAGAGAGAGAGAGAGAGAGAGAGAGAGGTTTCCGAGTAAATTAAAGGCCCAAAAAAAGTAGCTTTATTTCCTGCAAAAATCGAGGTAAAAAAGACGACTTTTGAAGATCAAATTTTACAAGGAGAGCCTCATTTCTCAAAATCATCAAAAACTTTGTAAAAAAGACCATTTTCATCATATGACTAAACCTTGTCTGAAAGATCAGTAGACTGTCACTTCTTTTGTTCATCTATCGTTTGGCTTTGACACCTCATCAAGAACTTGTAGTAGTGACCTTAATTGATTCTTTTGGGCGCAAAAACAAAATGCAAAAAAAAAAATCGGAGAATTAAGAAATAAATAAATGAAGTTTCTGAAACAGTAAATAAATAAAATAGATGTGATGAACAGTGAGGATACGTGCCGAAACTTTTTCGCATTACTTTTAATAAAGTCTTGATTTTTATTTTTATCTTCCAACGATTAAAATTGTAAAGTAATCACTTTAAAAAAAACAAAAAGTGAATACTTTAGATTAAAAAAAAACACAGAAATTACTGAGATTTTATCTAACTTCGTTTCAAAGTTTCTGTATTTTTCTAATAAGGTGTAATTAAATTGAAAGAAAATCAAGTTCTGGTTGGAATAATCAAATGTTAAAGAAAATTCCTTTTTCAAAACACGTGGAGTGATTAACAATCGACTTCTATTCTATTTAAGATTTTTAACAGCATCTCGTGTCATTTTATAATTTGATAATGGCTCAATAATTGGAAGACATTCCCATGTGACAGATTTTCTATATATATATATATAATATAATTATTTTAAGCGATCACTAGGTAGGAGTGGACAAAAATACCTGAGATTTCGAGTATCCGACCGATCGCAGGTCGGATAATAGTTATTATCTTACGGATATCTTCGGTTATCTAGATAATAAAAAATATGTTTTAAAATTTAGATTTTTTATTAGATTTTGTGTTATTTTATTTAATATTAATGATTATATAGATATTATTGGATATATTTATGATGTATTTTTAAAAAATAAATTTATTTTAGATATAAATACAATTTAAATTTATTTTGAATGATTTAGAGTATGTATATATAAATATATTTTTAAAAATTGATTGAAAATAATTACAAATATTCGAGTTCAGATATTCTCGGATACCCGATAATTATTTCACGGGTTTTCGGATTCGGGTATCCGATTTCACAGATACGAGATCAGGTAATAAAACATATAAACCGAGATGTTCGGATTCGAGTTCGGATACTCTCAAATTTCCGGATACCCGATCCGTACTCACTCCTATCACTAGGAGAGTTATTTTATCCATTAGACATCGTTTTGAATATGTATAAATTTCAATGATTGCAAAATATTTGATCTCCACATTAAGAGTTTGGAAAGGATTTTAAAAAGTGCATTTTCTTAATGAAACAACATGAAGAATTTTGAATTTATTTTTATACTTATGTGATTGTTTTAATTATTGGGATCTAATCCAGCTATTTATTTTTATTTAAATGTTATTTTTTTTAAAAATTTAATCATACTATATATAGATGATTAACTTGATTACATGGTTACCATCTGATTTATATATAAAATTAATATTATATTTATATGTGTTCAATTACAAAATTGTCATTAACCCTGTTTTTTCATTTAGGTGATCGCAAACGTTTGATTAATTTGGATATTCAAACCGTGTAAATATATATTCGGGGTATTTAAAAAAATATATATTTCAGATTGCGATTCACCCTAAGCAGGTGGAGTGTCGCTTTTCACTTTGTGTCAATTTCCTCACCCTAATTTTAAAACATCATTGATTTTTTTGGTAAACGTACTCTGAAAGGGTCACACAATCAATGCTATTTGACCCCGCAAATAAAAAATATATATATGAAAATGCAAAAAGAAAATATGAGAAAGTTTAAAGTTATCTAAACTTTTACAAAAATTCTAAATAAGTATTTAAATTATAAAGCTTTTATATAAATATTTAAAATTTTCTAAAATCCTATATAAATATCTAAATTTCTGAAAAAGAAAATTAAATAAATCTGAATTTTTTTATTTATTTAAATTTTTTTCAAAAGTCTAATTATTTATATAGGATTTTTAAATAGTTTAAATATTTATATGAAAATATTATAATTTAGGTATGTATATGAGATTTTTCTAAAAATTTAGGTATTTATATGCGATTTTTTTAAAATTAAAATAAATTATTTTTTAAAAATAGTGCGACAAATTAAATTTTATGATTGTTTTTTAAAAATAATGCAGCAAATTAATTTTTATGATTTAGATTAATTTTTTATTTTAATTTAGTTTTATTTGAGGTTGAGATAAAAAACACAAAATTGAAATAACACGAACTAATTTCCCTTTTTGTTGCCCATTAAATAAAATTTTGTTATTTTTCACATTTTTTCCTTGTACTACCCAAAACTGTAATAACAGCGGGAAGGGAGGGGTAGAATCGGAAATTACAAAACCCTCAACACACTGAGAAATTGCATTCATTCACCCTTGATCTTTGACTCTCGTGCTGTCATCACTGCCAACAACTCGGGCTCAGGTTAGTACTTTTTTCTTGCGATAATTTCTTTCTGTTTTCTCATTGATTTTGTCGTGTTGATTCTCTACGAGCTGATACAATCTCATTGATCACAATCTGCTTTTTTCGATAAGTCCTTCGAGTTCGGTTCATGGTTCGAATTTGACGGTATCAGGAAACTTGGTGTTCCAGATTCATGGGACTTTTGGATTTTCATGTCTGTTGCGTCCATTTCCCGTTTCGTGGATGTCATCGATTACGGTCTCTGATTGTTCGTACTGTGTAACACCAGGAACCATGTTCGTGACGAGATTTGTCGGGAGGAGATTTATGGCGGCGGGCGCCCCCCACCCCCGAAC